CTGACATACTTTGGACATGTTGTAAGGAGAGACAGGTCTTTAGAGAGGGACATCATGCTGGGTAGAGTAGAGGGACAGCGCAGGAGGGGAAGACCCTCTGTGAAGTGACTGGGGTACTCGGGATGGGTGTGTCGGAGGCAATGAGATTGGCACAGGATAGAGCAGGGTTTAGGGCTGTTGTACATAGGGTCACTATGAGTCGCAAACGACAACATTCATTATAACATTTATTATTATAGCATTTATTACAGTATAAATGAGATGGTTCCATTTCTTTGATGGTGAACAGTGCGTGTTCATTATTCACTGTTTCCATCATGTTGTTGTTTGTACCATTGATTCTGATCCGACCTATCGCTGACCCTCAGGTTTTCAGGGCTTGTAAATCACACAGGAGGGGACTGCCCATCTTTCTCGGATAGAGCATTTGGTGGCCTTGAACCTCTTGCCTTCAGGGTTGCATCGCAGCTTCTTGCCACTCCGCCCCCAGAGCTCCCTCGGGGTAACCAGAAAGGAACACTCTGAATGAAAACAACGCTGTTCCCACCCTGTGTCGGACCTGCATGTGGGACCTCAGCCTGACTGCAGTGTCGGGACACAGCTCCAAGGCTGGGCCGGTGGTCCATCAAAAGGCGCCTGTCTGAGGCAGAAGCCGACGATCTATTTAGTTGGTGGAAAACATCCTGGGGCAGATGGCTTATGCCACTCGGTCCCCTCACTGCCCTGATGCTTATCCCAACCCTAGGTCCCTGCATAATTAACAGAATAATAAAATTAATTAAAGACTAGGAACAGTCCCGCTGATGGTTATGCGGTCTCAATACCATGACCTAGAGACCGAAGAAGAAAGCGTTCATGATTGAGCTAGGGTGCAGAAGAACGGTGGACTGAGAGACCACGAGACTCCGTTTTTGTAACCTGAATGCCATTTTAAAGTGTATGGACCACTAGCCGGTTCCAGGAAAGACCGCAAACTGAAAAGCGGGGAGTAAAACCCCTACGGGAACAGGCGACGATCACAAGACCGCTGGGAAGTTCCCAACCTCCTGCAGGTCCCTTTCCCTCACCCTGTTTTCCCGCGAATCAGCCTATCCTGTAGCGGGCATTCCTCTTTAAATAGGCTTGGTGCCCGGGATGCGTGGCCCAGATTCAAATGTGAAATAAATTCCCTCTTGCATC